TAGAGCTATGGTGTTGACTGGTATTTAGTTAGGTCTAGAGTTAGAGTTAGTAGTGAATTTAGGGTTAGCAATATGACTAAGATTTAAGGTAGAGTTAAGGCTATAACTACAATTAGGCCTGTGCTTATAGTTAATATTGGGGATAAGAGATGGCTCACAGAGTTTAGAATGGATATTGACTTCATTTAGCATGTTAGAAGTATATTTATATATGGGATTAGGTTGGTGTTAAGGTTAGTGTTAGTCCTGGAAGTAGTGTTGGAGCTAGTTTTAGGAAAATGGTTAGAACTTGCCAGAGTTAGGGTGAGAAGTATAAATAAGATCAGGTTTGAGATTGGTATAAAATTAGTATAAGAGCTCCAATTACTGTTATAGTTAAGTTTATGATCAGTTTTATACTTAGCTTTATGTATTATACTGAAGGTAGGGTTTCAGTTTTGTTTAGGAATAGTGGAAAACAATGGACTCTGATTTGAGTAAATGTCAAGGTTGAGAGTGAGGGTTTGCATTACTATTCAAGTTAGTTCAGGTTAAAGCATGGAGGGTAGGCATCAGTTTAGAGTGGAAGATAGACATAGTGATAGATATAGACTAAGAATTAGGGGTATGTTTAGGGTTAGTGTTAGGGTTAAGACTGTAGTGAAAGTCAATATTTGAGTTTGATGAAGACCTTTGTTTAGTTAGGTTTAAGGTTATAAATAGAGTCAGAACTAGTTTTAGGTTATGGTAATCTGTGACACCAGGCTTAGGGGTTAGGATTCAAGTTAGGGTTAGCTGTTGGCTTAGTATGAGGTTGAAGCTAGGAATAGATTAGAGTTAGGTCTAAACTTATAAATAGATATGTGTAAGGTCTATATTTATATTTATAGTTATGGTTAGGTTCAGAGCAAGTGTTAAGGTGAGGCCACCAGTTGGGAATATACAGTAATAGACTCATCGGTATATTTAGAGGTAGAACTTTGTCATTAGGTTTAGACCTAATATAAGTGTTACAGGTAGATGTAGGTTCAAACAAAGATATACAGTGCTGTGACAAAATACAGCATGGCATTTTAACAACTTCTCTGGTCGATAAATTGTTTCAGAAAGAAGCATGATCAAATCTTTTCTCACAGGAAGGACAATGATACTAAATATGTAAACTGCTGAGTGACTTTAGCAAATAGAATGGAGATAGAATTCAGGATTTTTATATCTTATGACATATGTTATATTATCCTAAAAGCCATTAAATTACAGCTAAAACCTTCAAAAACTCAGACAGGGTAGACAGGGTAAATTTGTTCCCGTGACACTGGGAATTACCTTGCTGAATTAGTTCCAGTGCTTGAACTCAATGGAGATTTTTAGGGGCTGGGCCACACAATGATCAATCATTAGAATCAGTGAAACAGAGACACAAATGAAATAATGAAGCACAGTGAGTGCTTTCTACAGAATCTTCATCATCTGGTGCTTTGCAGATCAGTAGTGAACATGGAGAAGTCAGAGGAAAAAGGAAATAAATACCAAACATGAATTATTAGACCCATGGCTGCTATATGGTTTCTGAAGGTATAGCTTTATATTTTTGCTTATTTCCTCTTTTCTATTGTTCTTTCTCCATGACTTGCAAACTCATCTCTTTTACAATGTCCTATATAACCTTACATTCTATACATATATTCATGTTTTTTATATAAACATATATAAACATCATAAAGTAGGATCTAGGTTTAAATTAGAAGATGCAAAATTTTCTTCTATTTATTTGACTTATATAACTTAATTTTATATTTCCAAAATTATTTTTTTCTGAAATTTACATGATTTAACTTTTTTATGCAGACTGAAATAATATTTTATAAATATGAAGCTTATTTTTATTATTCCTTAATTCATTGGTGAACTAATTTTTATTTCATTAACATTGTATATTACATAACAATAAACATGGATAGGACTACCTGAAATTAACAAGTTTCTGAACAGCAGTGCAGGTTATCAGTAAATTAAACAACAAAAAGAACACTAGAAAATCTACACCAGGTACAATGTATTCTTAACCACAGGAGTAGAAAGATTATTGCTTATCAAAACCATGAGGTTTTTGATAAAATCCTAAGGTTTACAATGAAATGTCAATTTCCTTGTAAAAAAAAAAAAATTTTTTTCTAAAAGCTAAGCAAAGTTGGAAAATTCTTATAACTATGGAGCTACAGCACTCAGGACTTGGTGATATTTTTAGAAGGATATACATAGGAATTAATGAATTTGAAGACTTTCCAGAAATAGAAGGCCTTCATATTTATAGTCAATTGGTTTTTGATAAACTGCAGAGGCATTTTAAAAGGGAAAATATATACTTTTAATAATCAGGAGGTGTCGCGACCGCCTCGACCAGCAAGGAAGGCGCAATACAGGCTCTTCTTTCTGCAGTTTATTCAGGAACCTTGAACAATCTTCCGAGCCCGGGAAAAGCCAGCCCACAGCTTAAATAGGTTGGTAGCCAACCCCAGCATGCCACACGGGAGATGTCCAGATACGCGGAAGCAAGCAAAATCCTTAGTCTTAGCCATATATGGAGTTGTTTGCAACAGAGAGCACTCACCATCGGGGAGGTGGAAGGCAAAAACCAGTGACATCTTTAAGGCACGGCACTGCACAGCTCTCTACAAGGAGGAAGTACAGTGTAAAATTAATGTGGAAAAAATATCTCAATTCATAAACTTTTATCATACATATAACTTATTTTAAAAGCTGAGTTTAAGTAAAATATAGACAAAATATTTCCTGACCTATGTACTATACACAGAGACTATACTTTTATTTTCTAGTCACCAAGATCCCCCCAAAAATCACAGAAAAACTATATTCATTACAGCACTGCTTGGCAAACATCTTAGGCATAGTCCTAGTTGTCTCTTACCTTCCAAGTTAACCTGTTTCTATTAATCATGCATTGCCACAATACTGTGGCTTTCCACTAAGGTTCTGGCATCCTGTTCCCTTGGCAACTACATGGTTTCTTCCTGATTCTGCCTTCTTTCTCCTTGCATTCAGTTTAGTTTTCCCACCTACCTATATTCTGTCCAGCCATAGACCAAAGCAACTTCTTTATTAACCAATGATAATAAAACTTATTTGTTGCAAGAGGCTGCTTCTTCTTTCTGGCTGACGGGCTAGCTTAGACCCAAAATAAACACACAGAAACCATATTATTTAAATCACTGCTTGGGCCATTAGCTCTGGCTTCTTCTTGGCTAACCCATTTCTATTAATCTATATATCAGCACGCAGCACTGGCTTACCAGCAAACTCTGGCAGTGGCTCCATGGCATCTCCCTGACTCTGGCTTCCTCCTCCCATGCTAGAGGCCAAGCCAGTTCTTTATTCATTAACCAATAGAAGCAACACATAACCAGAAGGTCCTCCCACACCACTTATTGACAGCATACAGAGGTGAAATCCACATCATTAAACAGTTAAAGATTGAACAGAAGTCATGAGAACCAATCAAAGGGAAAGAAGATGGGTCATCAGGTCCTTCCAATATTCCACATGTGAGTTAGAACTCAAATGCAACTTATCTTCTGTTTCTGTGCCCCACAAACTGGCCTATATAGAGGGAACAGTGACATCTACAGGAATATGAGCACAGCTGGAACTGATCTTCCTACCTAGTCCTTGGGATGAGCAAACCCTGAACACACTTCATTCCCTGTGTACAAACAGAAAACAGGTGTCTGCTGTTTCATTCACTCAGGCTGGATACCTAGATCTGGCAGCACTAGAACACAATGCAGTACATATATTGATTGCATGCAAATATTCATACACTTGCAATCAAAATAAATCTTTAAAAAGCAGCTTGCCTTTCTTATACACAGACTTGGAGTTAATAATTATTAGTGCTTTTTCATACAATACAACACCCAAGAGTAAGCAGATCACCATCTCAGAACTAGGCTGGAGAGTATCTACAGCAGGGTGGGAACACTATTTGAGAAGGACAAATGGTAATCATTTTAGATTTGCAGGTCAGACTGTTTCCATCAGGGATAATTCTTGATACTTTTGCTATGTCAAGGGAGCCATGATAATGCACAAAGAAATGGATGTTGAGTGTGTTACAATAAAAATTTATTTGGAAAAGTAGGTAATGAGTAGATTTAGATTTTCTTTAGATTGTAAAGGCTTGATCTTCGGTTATACTTGTTATATCTAAGCAAAACAATTCAATATTGAAATACTATGTGCTTCAACTTTATATTTTTGATCCAGTAGAACTCCAGGGAGGAGCGGTTCTTCTTTGTATTTTTACTATGTAGTAATATGGCCCTCACTCTAATGGTTTAATTCATGTACAATTCATGCCTGGGTAAATGTAAATGAAGTGCTTACTTCATGATAATCTCAAACACTGTTGTCTCATGAGCAACTATTAAAAACCTTGTTGACATGATTGCTTACTTTGTTTTAAATTTATTATCAAGACACATGTTGCCAGATTTTATGCACTTTTTTCTAGATCCTGAAAAATTCTAAGTCATAGAGGAAAATACTTATAAGAATACATTCTTGGAGGCTTTATTTCTAAAACTGACACAGTAATTTTAACACAATGTGTGCATATTATAAATTAACTTTACAGTATGCATGGCTCATTAGAAATGGAGAGCGCTGACCCCATGAACCCAGACCTGTAGTGAGCAGACTATGAGACTTTTGGGTATGACTCAGACTGCATTTTCAAGATCTCTTCTATAACAACTTTTCCTTTGCCTCATCTCCTTTATTTCTACATGAAAATGACACTTATTATCTCTATGTATGAAAGAGAATCCTGAAATATTCAGAATAATTTCTTTCAGGAAATAACCTTTTTGACACATGTAGGCAGACTTTAGTGGGCAACATTCATGCAGTGATCTCATCTAAACATGATTTTCAATGCAGGATTTGCCGAAATGTCATGGAGGTGAAGGAGTTGATTTTTGTTCGCTTTCATTATCTTTTAGAAAAGAGATTCCTGGTGTTCACAAGTGAGAAGTCTGGGGCAATATAATAAAGATGAGGTGAGAGAAATGGAACTTAAGTTAGAATCAAGCATCCAAATTTGAATTTTATTTTTTTCTCAAAGTTTATTAAAATGCAAAAGTCTCCATTTCCGCCCCTCCTCCCAACACCCTCCCACTACTCCCACTCCCTCCCCTCCTCCCTCTCCATCCCCAAGAGCAGTCAGGGTCTCCCACCCTGTGGGTAGTTCAAGCTCCTCCCCCCTCCCTCCAGGTCCAGGAAGGTGAGCATCCAAACATACTGGATCCCAGAAATCCAGTATATGCAGAGGAAACAAGTCCCAGTGTCATTGTCAATGGCTTTTCAGAAAGACTCCGGGCCAGCCACATTCAGTGAATCCGGCCTCATTCAGAGAATCGGGCTGGATCATGTGCTCGCTCAGTCCCAGTCAACTGGCCTTGGTGAACTCTCATTAGATCAGTCCCCTTGTATCAGTGGGTGATCGCACCCCTCACGGTCCTGATTTCCTTTTTCATTTTCTTCCTCCTTCTGCTCCTCATTTGGACCTTGGGGGTCTCTGTCTGGTGCTCCAATGTGGGTCTCCGTCTGTACCGCCATCCATCGTCGGATGAAGGTTCCCTCTGATCTTGCCTTCCTTGCTCACGTTCTCTTTCCTTCTGCTTCTAGTTTGGACCTAGGGAGTTAAGTCCAGTGTTCCAATGTGGGTCTCCGTCTCCATCTCCATCCATCGCCAGATGAAGGATCTTTATAAGTTACTTGATCTTTTTCCTTTGCAGCTCTTAATATTCTCTCTTTAATCTGAATGTTTTGTGTTTTGATTATTATATGGCAAGGGGATGATTTTTTTTGCTCCAGCCTATTCGGTGTTCTGTATGCTTCTTGAACCTTCATAGGGATATCGTTCTTTAGGTTGGGGAAGTTTTCTTCTATAATTTCGTTGAATATATTTTCTGGACCTTTGATCTGAAATTCTTCTCCTTCTTCTACCCCTATTATTCTTAGATTTGGTTTTTTTATTGTGTCCCAGATTTTCTGAATGTTTTGTGATGAGAATTTGTTGGATTTGCTGTATTCTTTGGTCAGAGCGTTTAATTTCTCTATGGTATCTTCAGAGTCTGAGATTCGTTCTTCCATCTCTTGTATCCTATTGGTTATGCTTGATTCTGTAGTCTCTGTTCGTTTACCTAGATTTTCGATATCCAGCCGGCCCTCGTTTTGTGTTTTCTTCATTGCCTCCATTTCAGTTTTCAAATCTTGAACTGTTTCCATTAACTGTTTGATTGTTTTTTCTTGGTTTCCCAGAATTTCATTTATGGATTTACTCATTTCTTCAAACCTTTTGGTATATTTCTCTTCCATTTCTTTACTCATTTCCTCAATCTTTTTGTTATACTTATCTTCCATTTCTTTACAGCAGATTTTCACCTCCTGTTTAAGTTCCTCTATTATTTTCATAAAGATCCGCTTAGAGTCAATTTCTTCTATTTCTTCTGGAGTAGGGTGTTCCATTCTTCTAGTTTCGTGATCCCTGGATTCTGGAGATGTCATGTTGCCTTTCAGGTTGTTGGAGGAATTCTTACATTGGCGCCTGCCCATCTCCTCCTCTCTGGATGAAAACCCTCAGCACTTTCTGGATAGAACTCCTCAGCACTCTCTGGATAGAACTTCTCAGCACTGCAGCAGGGCTAGCTGGTGTTTCCAGGACCCAGGAGACAAAAGGGCAGCAGCGGTGGGGGCATGGAGGGGTCCCGTGGGACACCGAAGACCCTGCCACAGAAGCTGAGGGGGGAGGGGTTGTGCTCTCTTCTGGGACAGAGAGCCCAGACAAGCACCCACTCACCTCTCTGGATAGAACTTCTCAGCACTGCAGCAGGGCTAGCTGGTGTTTACAGGACCCAGGAGACAAAAAAGGCAGCAGCAGTGGGGGCAGGGAGGGGTCCCGTGGAATACCGAAGACCCTGCCCTGAATTTTAAATCTAGGTAGGTTGTGTGAATATCACAACTTAGTAAAATAAAATCATTTAATTTTATCCTATTGGCCTTAAATGTTTTCTAAGTGTTCAGTGTTTTATTTATTTCTACTATGACCTTTCTAAATCTCTGAAGCTTTGTTTTTCTGTTTTTCTAGTTTCTTAAGGTGGAATGTCAGCTTATCTACCTGGAACCTGAGGTCTTTGATGTGTGCTTGTTGCTGTAACCTTTTCTCTTAGAAGCAAGCATGCCATATTCCACAGGTTTTGATAAATTGGCTAACCAATTTCACCTACCTCAAGAATTTTTAAAATTTCCTGTTCAATTTCTTAATTGACACATTATTCATTCAAGAATATATCACTTGACCCTTTCTGCGCTGCCCCAGGATGGGTCCATACTACGTTGTTCTTGGTTCCCAAGGTAACTTAAAAGGCAAACTTACACAATATCCAGAGCCCTTGATGTCCTGCAGATGAAGGAGGAGAATCTCCTCAAATTCCTCGCTGCAGGCACCCACTTGGGTGTCACCAACCTCGACTTTCAGATGGAGCAGTACATCTACAAAAGGAAAAGCGACGGCATCTATATCATCAATCTGAAGAGGACCTGGGAGAAGCTGTTGCTTGCAGCCCGGGCTATTGTTGCCATTGAGAACCCTGCTGATGTCAGCGTCATCTCCTCCAGGAGCACTGTGCAGCGAGTGGTGCTGAAGTTTGCTGCCGCCACCGGAGCCACTCCGATTGCTGGCCGGTTCACCTCACGGACCTTCACTAACCAGATCCAGGCAGCCTTCAGGGAGCCACGGCTTCTGGTGGTGACTGATCCCAGGGCTGACCACCAGCCCCTCACAGAGGCGTCTTACGTGAACCTGCTCACCATTGCCCTGTGTAACACAGACTCACCTCTGTGCTACGTGGACATTGCCATCCCCCGCAACAACAAGGGAGCTCACTCAGTGGGCCTGATGTGGTGGATGCTGGCCTGGGAAGTACTCCGTAAGCATGGCACTATCTCCCGGGAGCACTCATGGGAGGTTATGCCTGATCTCTACTTCTACAGAGACCCAGAGAAGATTGAGAAGGAAGATCAGGCTGCTGCTGAGAAGGCCGTGACCAAGGAGGAATTTCAGGGCAAATGGACTGCACCAGCTCCTGAGTTCACTGTTGCTCAGCCAGAGGTGGCTGACCGGTCTGAGGGTGTGCAGGTGCCCTCGGTGCCCATCCAGCAGTTCCCTACTGAAGACTGGAGTGCCCAGCCAGCCACTGAGGATTGGTCAGCAGCTCCCACAGTGCAGGCCACCGAGTGGGCTGGAGCCACCACTGAGTGATCCTGAGCAAAGGGGAAAAAAGTGGAAGGAAAATAAAGTTCCTACAGGCTGTCTCTCAAAAAAAAAAAAGAATATATAACTTGATTTTTTTTTAATTGTAACTTCTAGTTTATTTCTGATATTTATTGCTGAGGATACACATTCAGTATTTTTATTTTAATTTATTGAACTGTGGAAATATTTTTTTGAAAGATTAGTTGAATAGACAGATGAGAAAAAACAGAATGTGACTATTTTTATTTGTTATTGTTATTATTCTTTGCATTAAATGTAGGAACTAGGTAAAACCTTGTGTCATAAAGGAGATTGATGACTGCCAATGCCTTACATGAAGAGGGTTTGTGTGTGGCAGGGTGGCAATTGCACGACAAAGTGAACCAAGGCCTTACATGTATGGGTGTGTGTGGTAACATGATTATAGTATGACAAAATAAAGGCTCTACACGTCCTAAATCTGTTCACTTTAAAAATTAGCTATTTGGGTCTGGAGAGATGTCTCAGTGGGTGAAAGCACGAGGGCTGAATTCAAATCTTCAGCCCATATAAATAGGCAGATAAAGCAGCATTTGTCTGTAATCCCAGGGCTACCTAACAATCAGAACAGATATCAAAGGTTTGATGCCCAGTCAGTGTGGCCATAATGGTAAACTCAGTGTTCAGGAGAGGAGAGAGGAGAGACACTATCTCAAAAACTATGGCAATAAGTGATTGAGAAAGATATACTCACATAAACATCTGTCCTCAAAATATACAAACAGGTAAGGACATCTGTATATGTAAATGTGCATACCCTATCCATACACACACATCCACATGCATACATACATACCTGCACACACACAATATTAATTTCTCTTTATTTAAATTAATTAAAATGTTGAAAAAAGTAATTTTTAAAAAATAAAACTAGCATGTTTTTGACTTTTTAGTTTTCCTTTATTTAACATAGTATTTTCTTTCATAATATGTGCTAATATATTACAGATCCCCTCCATCTGCTTTTCCCAGTACATGGCCCTTTCCCAATCCCTGATCTGAATCTGCTCCTTTTCTATCTCTACTTAGAAAGCAAACATGCTTCTATGAGATAATAATACAATAAAATATAATAAAAATACTAGAACTACAGAATTAGACAAAACAAACTGAATAAAAAGAGTCAAAGAGAATAAACAGAACCCACTAGCTTGCAAACTCATGAATTTCATAAAAACACTAAACTGGAAAACATAATATATATGCAAAGGATCTGTAGGGTAAGAGAGAATAAAATATATAAATAAAATTAATATAGAATAAAAAAATTAAAAGGAAAAGACCTGACACAACATACCTACAAGAAACCTCCAAAGATGCTGTTGGGTTCACTTTCTGTTGGCATCCACTGCTGGGCAGTATGCTTCCCCAGTGAGACTCCCTTGAAGGAAACTGAATTTTCATTTTCAAGGGGTTATTAAGTGAAGATGTCTCTAAATTTGGGATGGGGTCATATGCCTGCTTCCCCTTCCAGACCTAGAGCCCTATCTGTGTACACTTGTGCAGGCCTCTGTCTCTGAGTTTATACGTGTATCTATCATGTTGATTTAGGGGGCCTTGTTGTTCTAGTGTCCTTCACCACCTTTTGTTCTTATGCTTTTTATACCTCTTCTTCCAAAGACTTTCTGAGGAGAGGGAATTGATGGAGACAACCCTTGTGGGCCGTGTACTTCAAAGTTTCTCATTCTTTGCATAATATCTGTGGGTTTGTATTTATTCCCATCTAGTGCAAGAGAAAGCTCCTCTGGTGATGATTAAGCAAGATTCTATCTGTAAGTATAGCAGAATGTCATCAGAAGACATTTTATTGCTACAGTGTTCTCTTTTTTGATGTTTTGTTTTGTTTTGTTTTGTTTGAGAACAATAATATTTGGTTTCACCCTACATGCCTAGGCATTTTGTCTCTGATCACCCAAGCAATGCCAGGCTTGGATTCCATCTTCTATTCCACCCCTTATATATAACTATATATAACTATTCTACTTCTGTTTCCTAGGGGAATCTATGTGCTTCCCACCACAATTCATTACTCAACATCTAACCTTTGTTGTTTGATAGATTATAGCTTGGTTTTCATTCACATAACAACTATTATCCACATATAATAAGTATATGTTGTATTTGTCCTATTTGTTTATGTTACCTCACTAGGATGATGTTTTTCTAATTCTATCCATTTTATGTGAATTACATTATTTCAGTTTTTTAATGGCTGAGTAATAAATACTCCACTGTGTAAGTGTACCACATTTTTTTTATCCAGTCTTCTGGCTAGGGGCATGTAGGCTGCTTCGAGTCTCTGGCTGTTACGAGTAGAACACCAGTGAACATAGTTGAGCAAGAGTCTCTGTGATAAGATGAAGTTTCCCTTGGGATTGTGCTTAAGAGTGGTATAGCTGGATCTTGAGGTAGATCTATTCCCAGCTTCCTGAGAAACTGACACTCTGATGTCCATAGCTGATGCACAAGTTTGCAGTACTACCAGCAATGAATGAGTGTTCTCCTTGCTCCACATCCTCACCAACATGAGCTATCACTTGCTTTATTGGAATCAGTCATTCTAACTAATGTAAAATAAAATTTCAAGATAGTTTTAACTTGTCTTTCTCTGGTAGCTTAGTGTTCTAAGGGAGAGGAGCACTTTGTTTGTCCTGGCCGCCCGGTTAGCTTACACTCGAAATAACCACACAGAAGCTGTATTAATTAACACTGCTTAGCCATTAGCTTTAATTTTTTATTGGCTAACATGTACATATTAGTTTAACCCATCCCCGTTAAGCTTTGTATTGCCACGTGGCTGTGGCTTACTGGAGATTCCAACCAGTGTCCACTCGAGCAGAGGAACCATGGTTTCTCTCAGTCTTCCCTTCTTCCCAGCATTCAGTTTTGTCTTCTCTGCCTACCTAAGTTCTGCCCTATCAGACACAAAACAGTTTCTTTATTCATTAAACAATGAAAGAAACACATGAACAGAAGAACCGTCAACACCAGCTTAGGATGTTGACCATTTCTTTTTAGTGTTTCTCAGCCTAGAATCTAATTTCTAGATTCATTTTTTGAGAATTCTCTGTCAGATCTGCATCTCATTTTTAATAGGGTTATTTGTTTTCTTGATATCTAGTTTCTCGAGTACTGTATATATTATGGATATTAATCCTCTATAGGATATATAGTCAGTATAATCTTCTTCATTCTGTAGACTGTTGCTTTGTAAAAATGATGGTATCCTTTGCCATGCAAAAGCTTCTCAGGTTAATGAGGTCTCATTTATTAAATATTGTACTATTTTCTGTCCTAAGTGTTTTGTTCACAAAGTCTTTTCTGGTGACAGGGAGTTCAATTCTACATCTTCTTTTCTAACAGCCTCAGTGTATCTGGTTTTATGTTGAGTTTTTGATCGACTTGGAGTTGAGTTTTGTACTGGGTAATAAGTATGCATCTATTTGGACTCTTAAATAAGCAGGGAGACAATTTAATTTCAATATAATTTTGATTAAGATAAAATTAAAATAAGTTTATGTATAAAAATTTCATGTTTTTGAGAAATAAAATCATTGCAGGTAATCCAAATTTTCAATGAAATAAAAGGTTTAAAATACATCTCTAAATTTCTAAATGTGGGTGTCAAGATAGTTTGATGTTAAAACACAAATGCTGATAGAAGAAGCTGTGTGTGTGCTCTGATGTCAGAGATATTAGAGCGGCTCTTCTCTCTGTTATTTCTCACACAAATGAAATTTCTCAACGCTTCAGAGTTAAAGAAAATAATTTATAATATGAAAACATAACCAACTGACTTAAATTTACATTGAAATAGAATAATAAATAAAAGAAATTTTGGCCTAAAATTTAATCAAATTGACATATAGCATACATAGAAACTTTTTAAAGAACACATTTGCTGGCAGGAACCAAGAACATTGTGTGTAAATATATTATCTGGCGCCTAAAGCTAATTAGTGCTTCCAATAAGGAACTTGCTAACTTACTGAAGTTATCTATCAACAAAAATAAAGAGAAAATGTTATTTGGTAGTATGCTTAGATTTTAATGCTTAGATTTTAAACCAAAATTAAATCTTAAAGTCTGTGATCAGACTTTGAAGCCCAGGAACATTCATCTTGGTGATTTCTATAGTAAATATATAATATGAATGCTTTATCTACTTTTTAAAATGCTCAAAAGGGTTACTATTTTTCCCGAGATCAGCAGAAAATGTTTATAATTATCATGTCTTATAGGAAATAAGAAAATTATTTAATGTTGATAACATTTTTTCATGTTTCTGTTCAGTTAACTAGAAATAAATGATCAAACACTAATGCTTTGGCTAATTTTTCTAATTTTAGGAGCTATATTTTCTTTAAATTTTTAAATGTATAATATTTTACTTAAATAGTTTTATATGCTTGATTATGAAAATAAATCTGATGAACTGAGCATGTTTTAAATTTATATTTACATTTAGCTGTTTTAAAAGTATGTTGTACTTAAACTCCAAATGAAATTTTTATTTAAAACCCCAAATGGCTTTTAGGGAGCTATTTTATTACAGCAATTAATCTGGTTGTTTTTCTTGTGCACTGAATGTTTTGCAATTGAGTAGTTACTATAATTATGCCATTACAATAATTATGCAATTACTCTATGTAATTATATCATTTAATTATAGAAGTATGCTTGCAGGAATTAGTTGTATAATCAGAACATGTAATTATATAGTAAAATTGAAAGCTATATTGTAAAATACACTACGTATGGATATATTTGGCCTACTTAAAAATGAGATTATTCAAAAATGTAAGATTACTGATTTTCTATAAAATTTGTTAGAATTTTTTTAAAGTTAAAAAGTACTTTTTGGCTTTAAAAAATAAAACTTTTCATAAAATCTGTATTTTTTTAAAATTTAGTTAACCTGTTAAGGTTTATCAAGTGTTCTAACTAGATCCTCTTGTACTAAA